GCTCCAGGAAAGCTGGGGAGGGACTTGGGACAAGGGCAGGGAGGGAGAGGACAAGGGGGAAGGGATTAAAACTGGAAGAGGGAGATGGAGGTGAGACATGAGGAGGGAATTCTTTGCTGTGAGGGTGGTGAGAGCCTGGCCCAGGTTGCCCAGGGAAGCTGTGGCTGCCCCATCCCTGGCAGTGTTGAAGGGCAGGTTGGATGGGGCTTGGAGCAACCTGGGCTGGTGGGAGGTGTCCCTGCCCATGCAGGGGGTGTAGAACTGGATGATATTTAAGGTCCCTTCCAACCCAAACCAGCCTGGGATACTGTTATCCATGCAGAGAAGTTGGAACTCGATGATCTTTAAGGTCATCCATCCTTCCAACCCAACCCATTCCATGATGCTATTTTAGCAAAATGAGTCTGTTTTCCAGCTGTGGGTGCAGATTGTGATCTGGAACAGTCACAGCCAAAACACTCGGGGCTGCAAGAACCAAACCACGGGTTTGCACTTCAATGGAGAAATCCCTCTTTATTTTCCAAACCTGGCATTTAACAGCTCATGGAATCAACATGCCAACCCAACCCAGGGAATTTACCATGGGAATCTCTCATTTTTGGGCTGATTTTATCCAACCCTGAAGCATCTGCTGTTACACCTCTCCTGCTCCTACACACCCTTGTGTTTCTCCAGCTGCTGTATGCATCCCCATTCCCTCGCCTGGCTCCTTGTCCTTAATTTCCCTATTTTTCCTGGGTTATTATTTTTGGGAAGCTTGCAGCTCCTGAGGTGAAGGCTCCTGTTGAGCAATCCTGACACCTGAGAGCTGATGCTGTATCTGTTACAACATCATTTATTTGCTTTCTGGATGTTGCCAGCCCCGACAAACCCAGACCAGGAGGGGGGGAGAGAGAGGAAATCTGAGCACTTCTTTGCTGCTGCCCGGGCATTTTTTAGATTGTTAAATTAATGCACAGAAAAACAGGTTTGGTTTCCTTGTTTCTGGGTTTTGGGAATCCCACTGGGAGGAGATTTGATCCAGAAAGATGCCAGATAGGTTGTAAATGCACTGCTCGGCTTGAGTATCAAGGGTGGGATTTGCAAAAACAACAAAGACCAGAATTAACCATGAAATGAGCTCTGGAACTTTTGCCTTTGAGGGAATAATTCTCTTAGGTGGGTCTTAGGGGTTCAAGGCTGGTGTTGTGGGGACTTTGATGCTTTCCCAGGATGCTGCTTGGTCACTAGATCTTGTTTTCCTTCCCTCTCCCAGCTGTATCCCTCCCTTTGGGGTCCATCCCTGTGGCTCCTGCTCATCCCTCCAGAAGCTTTCCAAGGTGACACTGGCTCTGCTGAGCTCAGATGGATCCAACCTGTCACCATTGCAGGCTTGGGGTAAATACCAAATCATGCAAGAGCTCATGCTGAAAGCTTTCCCAGGACCCGTGCAGGTTCCCAAAGCCCAGGGAGGATTTCCCTCGTGAATCACATTTAAACCAGTGTCGGGGTTTTGGGGAAGAAGGAAAAATGAGGAAAGGGGGGCGGATTTTCAGAAGCAGAAACGGGGAAAAGGTGAGGGGAGAAGTGAAGGTGCAGAAGTAGAGGGAGGGAAGGGAGTATTGGGGTGTCCCACTTACCCATAGAGGTCGGTGGTGATGTGAGTGCCCAGCACACACAGGGCCTGGATGCGGTTCCCGTGCTGCAGCCGGAGTGTGCGGTCCCCTGCCATGTCCCCTGGCCTGTCCCCACGCAGCCCAGACACCTCAAGGATGGGCATGCACCCTCTTCCCCACCTGCTCTGGGTGCCACTGAGCTCCCCCACCAGCATCCAGCTGCTTCTCCTTCCTCCCTGGCACGTCTCCCTTCTCAACTGGCTCCTCTGCAAAGTTCGGGATGACAACTTTGCAGCCTCCACCCGGGGCTGAAGGGAGGGGGCGGTTGGATTGGACCCTCTAAAGCCCCAGGAAAATGATCTCCAGGGGGAGGGAAGGGATAGAGAGGGAGGGGGAGCTGGCCCAAAGCCCACCCACCTCCCAGCCCTATGCAAGGAGCTCCCCCAGCTGTTCCCAACTCCTGTCCCTCCAGCATCTGACCCCAAACAGGGACAAGCAGCCCAACAAGGAGGTGATTTTTTTCCAGGTTTCAGCTGGTGTTTGAATCCTTAGGGTATCCCCTCTTTTATTTATTTGCTCTTGCTGCTCTGAGGAAGAAGAAATACAATTTCCTACCCCTTAGGCTAGAGCAGGACACTCCTTTTTTCTTCTTTTTTTTTTAACCCTGCTTATTTTCAGAGGGAGTAAGTTGCCAGTGTGGGCAAATCAGAGGTGGTTTTGAACAGTCAACCCAGCAGAGCAATTGCTGCCCATGTAGACATTTGCATTATTTATTAACATCAAGCTAAATATTCATTGAAAAACCCAAACTTCTGCCCCAGATTTTGGAAGCCACAAGCAATTAGTGAGGAGCAGAAACCTTCAGGTTGATGTTTTCATTTTTAATATCCCTTTCAGACTTCTGTTTTTTTGTGTTCTCTTTTCTCCCTGGCTGAGGTGTAGGAAAGAAGCTCAAATCTAGTTTCCCATATCAAGTAGATCCTTGTTGGGTGGGTTGTTTTTTTTTTTGGCCATAACCTGAGCAAATGTGAGTGAGGCCTTTGTGTTGCTGAGCAAACACTTGGGAACACCAACCCCCTTCCACATAAAACAGGGTAGTTTTGCTGCTTTTCTGCATAAGCAAAAATAATATTTGTGACAATGGGGATATTTTTTTAAAGGCTGTAGAAGTTCTCCCAGAGGAATATAATAAAACCTAACCCACTTTTTAAACTCAGACTGTGCTTTTCCTAGAACATGGTGGCCAGGCTGGCACCACTGTGGTGCAAAACATGCTGGGGGCTTGGGTTAAGTGACCCCCAGTTGAGACACCCTAGGAGCTGATCTGCTCCCAGCTGGAAAATGTTCCTCCTGAGAAGCATCGTGATTTATCTATTTAACCCCTTTCTGTTTAAACCACCAGTAGTAAGAAATACTGGTGAAAGAGGAACTAGGAGGAGCAGTAATTTTAAAAAGAAAAAAAAGCTCCCAAAACTGTATTCTGTTTGCACATCAGGCTCTGTTCTCCAGCACTATATAGGACTGATTTCTCCTCTTTTTACCCCAAGGCAGAGCCAGCAGCTGGCAGGGCATGGGCTGGGATGGCCTTACCTCCCTGGAACCTGTGGGCTCAGGAAATAGAGGTGTAAACCTCTTCAGTTTGGAGGAAAATGAGCAAAAAGCAATTTTTTCCCCACCTTTTTAATTCCTCCAATCTTGCACCTGTTGACTTAGTATTTCATTTGTCAGTGAGGAAAACACATGCTATTGAAATCCTCCTTTTCTTCAAAAAAAAAGACCTCACCAAACCCAATCCCAAATCCCTACAGAAAAGACCCCAGGGTCACCACATCACTTGTGTTTTTTAAAATCATGCAGAGCTGGTCATGGGTTTGGTTTATCCATCTAAATATAAATGTGTTTATATCCCCTCTGGTCCAGCTGGCCTGATGGTGCTGACGTGGGTAAAAGCCCCCAGCACTTGCCAGGCAGAAGGAGACCTGTGGACCCTTGGGAGCAAGTGCCCTCAGCAAAGATGGGATTGAAACCCTGGGGGCCCTGGGTTGGTTTTTTGGATGGTCCTGTTTTTTTTGGGTGGTCCTGGCTGCCAAAGGGCTGGTAGAGCCCATTTCCCCATCACTGCACTGGTTCCTGTCTTTGTGGCATTGGTGTGGAACAAGGTTAAGGTCTTTGCAAGCTTCCTGGAATTTTGGACACCAGGTTTGGTCTTTGCTGGCTGTGTGGAGTCTTTCAAAGCTTCTTAGAGTCTTTGCAAGGCTTCTGGGGTCTCTCAAAAGCTTATTGTACTCTTTCCAAACCTTCTGGGTTCTTTGCAAGCTTCCTAGAGACTTTGCAAACCTTGGAGGTTCTTTACAAGCCATGCAGGTTCTTTGTAAAGTTTCTGGGGTATTTGCAAACCTGGGGAGGTCTTTGCAGAGTTGCCACAGCAATGGTTGCAGCAAGGAAAATGTTAAATCCTTCCTGGGGAGGCTTTGGCAAAGCCCCCACCACTTGCAATGTCTCCATTTGGGGAGGAATTGGGCAATTGCACCCAAGAGGCACCCAAGACATCTTCCCCATACCTGTGTCTGGTGCTGAGGGCAGTACAAGGACTTACCTGTCCCCGTTGCATGAGAGGTGGCCATCTCCTGTGGCCTTTCAGTATCTGAAGGAGGTTCAGGAAAGCCAGGGAGGGACTTTTGACAAGGGATCAGAGTGAGAGGATGAGGGGTGTCATGGTTTTAAGTTGGAAAAGGGGAGATTTAGGTTACATGTTAGGGGGAAATTCTTTAGTGTGAGGGTGGTGAGACACTGGAACAGGCTACTCAGGGAAGTTGTAACTGCCCTATCCCTGGAAGTGCTCAAAGGCAGGTTGGATCAAGCTGGTCTGGTGGGAGGTGTCCCTGCCCATGCAGAGGGTTGGAACTAGATGATCTTCAAGGTCCCTTCTAGCCCAAGCCAGTTTGGGACTCTACAATAACACAATTCTATGAATTCCCCCCAGTTATTAAATAAAATTTGATTTCTCCTGCAAGAATGGGCTGTTTTTTTCAGGGTGCAGAAGTGCTATTTGCCATGTGGGCTGAGCTCTGGGTTACCAGGTGGCAGATCAGAGGTGGTAAACCATCCCAGGACACGTGTAGATAGACATGTGCACACGTATGTAGATGTCTGGGGGTTTGTGGCTACAGTCAAATCTGATCAGAGGAGTTCTTTGTTTTCTTATTTAAAATCAGATCTGCCAGGTCAGAAGCTGCTCTGTATAAACTTCCCTGCCACTGATGGATCTCTGCCTGCCCTAGTTTCCAGGACCTGGGAAGAGATCCCAACACTGGAGCTTCCAAACAACTCCAGGGAGCTGATTGCTGAGGCTTTTCACGTGTGCATCATCCAGCACCTCCTGCCCAAGGAGGCCAAGCCGGTGGGTGCAAGGGGGTTTTAAGCTCCTTGGCTGCTTGGTGAGGGGTCTTGGGGTGGTTTGGTGACTCTCTTTCTGCACGTGCCTTAGTGCAAAGAGTGGGAGGGGAAATGTTCCCCCCGCTGAGTCCTTTCAAGCTGACCTTTTGCATTTAGGAGGTGCAAACAGGTGCCTGTCCCAGTCGAGCCACGAGGCAACTGCCTATTCCTGCCCATTCCTGCCCTTTATTTTGGAAGAGACAGGCAGCTTCGAGGAGGTGAAACCAACCCACTGGCAAGATGAAGGAGCTTGGGTGAAGCTGAGTCTACCCTGTAGCTTTATTGCTCTCCCTGGGGGAGGCATCCAGCACGCCCCAGCCAGGGTGATATTTATAGGGCAGCAATTTTAATGCAAAGCTGGGGGAGAGCGTGGGCAGGGCAAGCACAGGGGTATGTGCTTGGCTCCAGCCTCAGGGGGGAAAAGCAGTTTTATGGGATGCTTTGCTCTTGGATTCCCAGGTAGGAAATCTCCCAGCAGGCAGACACCTTCATTTTGAGGACAGGAAAGGATGGAGGGGGATTTTTGGTGCTTTCTCACCCAGGAGGAGGAGATGGTTGTAAAGCCAGCTCTGACAAGTCCTGGCCCCGGATGTTTTACCAGGTTTGGGACCAACCTCTCTTAGTTTTACTGGCTTGAAAAACATTTTTTTACTGGGCCAAACCAACCTGCTGCCCTTCTTTCCTGGCTTCCAAGTGGGATGGGGAGGGCAGGTCCCTGGGAGGGGACTTGATGCCTGTCTGGGATGCTCCTGCCAGGCTGTTCCAGCTATGCGCCTAAAGAAAATAAACCTTCATGCAAACTGGAGCGGGACTTGATAACTGGTTCCATGCCTTGCCCTGTTGCAAGTAATTAGGCTGACATGGCTCTTAAAAGTTCCTGCCTGCAATTACACATGCAGAGTAATAAATAAGGTGTAATTAGCAGCTTAGGGAGATTATCAGACTTTCCTTGATGGAGTGGCGGCGCAGGACGGGAGAGAAGAAACGCCCTGGGGAAGTCTGGGCTAATAGTGGGGTTCTTGGAGGAGCACTGGCAGAGGGTCAGGTCTTGCTCCATCATGGCTAGAAACAGGCTGAAATTGGGGGAAAAGACGAGGTGAGCCCCAAAAAAACAAGGTTCACTTGATCTGCTGGAGAGGTGGGATCCCATCTGTCGTGTCCCAGGGATCTTAAGAGCAACAAGGTGTTATTAGGAAGAAACACTCAGCTCTGAATGGGCTGGATGGCTTAAAATTGTCATTCTCCCTGTGCACGGGCATGTCAGTGCTAATAGCAGGTGGAGGAGGAAGAAAAGCTGAGTGTAGGTACCACCCAACCAAGACGAGGTGTTTTGGGCTTGAGTGAGCATCCACAGTGACCGTGGTGGCTCAGAATGTGCTGTGACTAAACGTGCTGAGAAAAAACCCAAACCCAAAATGAAGATGAGGTTTCAGCCCTGTGCCTCCATCTCTTCTGGAGGAGCATGATCCTGTGGGAGTTTGGAGAAGCAGATGCTCTCCAACCCTCTGTTGAAGCCCTCGTGTTTGCTGGGAGCCTGAAACCACCGTTCTCCACCTCCCTCCAGATTATAGACCTTACCAGCCTGACCCTGTGGGGATTAAGGTGTGTTCCCTGTCCAGCACAGGGCTCAAACCAGCTGAGCAGGATACAGTCCTAAAATCACAGCAGGCAGCAAGCTCAG